GTCAAGGATAGCGACATCCAGTCCTTTTTTATGCCACTCCTTCAGTTTCTGTGTGCACACGTCAGCATTGGCTGCGTGTGCGTCGCGACACTCATTCAGCTCTCGATAGTCTAATACTGGCCGCACTTTATTTTTGTTTTTCTGCATCACTGGAATTAAACCTTTTGGATGACAAGTTCCTTTTCAAGATAAGGCTGCAAGCAACTGTTATCAAGCCAGGTCTGCAGCTCATGGTCGTATTCCTCCTTGACTCCCGTTGGTATTGAGTACTCGGGCATCCGATTTCTCAAACTCTCCGGTGATCGACCATCAGACCACTTCCATGATGCGACCCATATCTTCCGGTTTGGGTCGAATTTGGCGCAGAAATCAGATTCTTCTATTTTAATAGCGGTGTAACAGACTATCCCACGTTTGGGAAACTGTACATCACCACAGTGTGTTATTTGGAGTCCGCCCAACTTTTTAATGGCGTCAAATCCAAGCAACAAGTGAAAACCCAGTAGCTCTCCATCCACTACCAAGACATCAATTTTGAGGGGGTTTGCGTTGTTTACATCAAGCTTAATACTTCCAACTCCGCAACATTTGAGTGTATTTCCGTTTATAGTGAGTACGTTCACTTCCGTCACCCACTAGGATTGACAGGCTGACTTACTAATGAGTGTCTCTGAGCAGCCAGTGTCCACCAGTGCCACTCTCTTAATTCCATTCACGTAAATACCCAAGATGGGTAACGCTTCATTCATAACTCGCTTATGGAAGAGACTGGCGCTGATGTCTTGTCCCCCTTTCCCTGGATACAATGAAGCAATGTGGCTTACTTCTTATATCGTATTGTTGTGCGTGACCCACATGGCTGATGGCCATCTTCTTGTCGAACCGGGCAGTCCCTGGCAAGGTGATTCCACCCAGAACATAGATAACATCGCATACTCTCCCGACATTTAACAGCTCCGCCTGATGAAATGGTAGCCGTAACCATTTCCTCAGTTGCAATTTGATCTTTCATTATGGCTCGAGCTCGGTCCAACAGTTGGTTTGTATTCATGTCTTCCATCCTGGAAGATGCACGCAGTAGTTGCCTGACATGCGCTGGTAACCCTGCTATGAACCCATATGCTAATCCTTGCTCCGATATCCTGCCAAATAGACCAGCTAGCTTCTTTAAGTCAGCTAGAAACACGGCGACGGACTTGTCTGGGTGCAGTCGGCATTCCACGAATTGCTCGTAAGCCAAGAAACAATCTGATGCAAAGGCAATCTTCAGGGCTCATTTTATCTGCTCAACATCTGATTTTTGTTCCAAGTAACTGCTGGTAAACAGCAAATGCTCCGCCCGTCAACCTCAAAGGAAGAACACGTTCAACCTTTTTAATTCCACACAGGTCACAAACAAGTTTAACCTTCTCAATCCATTCAGTAACTGCTTGTCCGGTCAATGAACCATCAAACTCTGGTATCAACTTGGCATCAAATGCCTTGTTTGTCATAGTGCCGAAATAGCTTGTAAGCGATCTGGGATTGCAAAGGAAATGTTTGTCGCAGATTATTTCCACATCGCCGAGAATAAATCACTAAGTTCAGACTCGAACATCGGGGACAGAAAGAAAATGCCGAAAACTCGATTCACAAGTACTATTTCACAAATCCCAATGCATGCAACCACAGTCAGAAAAATAACTCCTTCGCCAACCAAAAATTGCCGACCCCCCCCAATTCGAGAACACCAACTCCTTTTATCGGCTGAACATTTTTTCTTTTTCCCCCATTCGTCGACAGCTGGGAGAGGATGTTCAGTAATTTGCATATCAACATACTTTTATAACGACTCCTGCAACGGACTTGTTTTTTAATTCAAATATTCCATTTTCAGAATGTCATGCTGAATACATGCCCTTTTGTTTGGTAAGTAATTTTCTTTTTCGCCACATTTTCTGGCGTAGAATACACGTGACGCGCTATCGCTTGGTTTGACGAGGTAAGTCGCCGTTTTCTTCGCTATAGTTTTTTTTAACACAGAATTAATGATCCATGTTAAAACAAAGATTAAAATATACATAACCTTTGTACACCTTTGTTAACAGTATAGGAAATGATGGATCTGAAGCACTGCCAAATATTAATTGTAATAAGACTTTAGTAAAGAAAATATATAACAGGATAAAAAGGATTAACTTTTTGGGACAAATAAATGATGCTCATAATCTACTTTTTTTTTAAAAAACTTTCTACAGTAGCAAACAGACAACTCCAAACAAAAGCTCAGGACAAGAGATGCATGATGACCAATGATTGTAGCACAAGAATAAAAAATCACCATGATTATAGCACAAAATAATTTTTGTTTTGTTTTTAAATTGTGCATGGACAAATTTAAGATTATGAGAATAAACCAAGAGAAGGCTTTTGTGATGTTTTAAACTTTACTTATTGGTTGATTTTGTTTAGTGGCTATCAATGCAGAAATCTAAATTTGAAAACAATTTTATAGCTTCAACTAAATGCAATTGTATGCCTTTAACTATAGATAAAATTTATTGCTGGTCATTTTTTCTTTTTATATAAAAATGCATTGCGGGTATTTTTACTAAAAAAAAAAAAAAAAAAATACTTTCATAGTGTTTTGTTTGAGGTTTCACTATTTGATCATAACTGGGACAGGTGCTACCACATCCTGGGTCAGGGTGGAATTAGGAACAACAGTAATTAAGAAGTGTTTCCATGCTTCTCAAAACCCTCAATCTCTTAATCGGAGAACTTGCCGTCAGATGTAGTTTATCGTCATACCCAGGACTAACTTTAATTAAGAGAATGGTAGTGAATAACAAAACAATATAAACAAGATATATTTTTTTTTATTGACCCCATTTCTGTTTAGTTTACTATTGGTTTTTTTTTTTTTAGAACTCAACCCGACTTTTTATTTGAACAATTGATTTTCATTTTTTTAAAATTTTATCAAAGCCGATGTTCTGAAGAAAACTGACGGAGTTATGAAATTCTCTAGGAAAAACACTGGTAAAGTAAAGAAAGAAATATCTCCACGGGTCAAAAAGGGTTCTCTGTTCTACTTGACATTCCATGACTATCGTTGTATTAGAAAATATCTTTAGACACCAGAAGAAAGATGGAGAGTCAAAACATTGTCAATCAATATTCATCGATTCAATGTATATGCTTTTGTTCTTTTTCTTTCCGAGATTTCAAAAACATGCATTTTTTTTCTTCCATTCTCCACACGAAGTTAGCTTTTCTTTCTTTGTTTGTTTGTTGCGTGTTTTGTTTTTTCGTTAAAAAGAAAAAGGTAAAAAAAAAAAAAAAACAACCGAGTTATTATTCGAACAAAACAAGTTGCATTGTTAGTTAGTAACAACCTAATCCTCTAATTTTTTTTTTACATATTTTTAATTTTTTACATCGATGAGTTTAAGAGCCGAACACATTTTTTACATACCAAATACTGAGTTACCCCCCTTAGATTGCTTTCCATAGCCTCATATTTTGAGCATAGACTTTTTCACTCCCATAAATAAATAAAAACGAAAAACGTCTATGACCATTTAAGATTCAAAGTTTGTATAACGAATATAAATCATTAAAATAAAAAAAGTTTAACTTACCTTCTTTGAGAAGCCTTGCATTAAAAAATAAAATAACGTCCTAAATGCAAATGACACTGAAGCACTAGTGAAGTCACAGTGTTGTTAGTTAACAATGAAAATAAAAATTCCCCAATGTACTACAAAAATCTGGTCCATGTTAAAATGAGGAGAAGTAAAACAATCTAATGTGGGGTAATTTAATATATTTAGCATGCGAAACTAATTTCGGATACTAAACTGATACTTTGTTGTTTTTAGAATTTCAATATCTTGTTGAGTTTGAACATTTTTTAGAATTTTTATCCTTTAACAGGTTGGAGGTTATATTTGTTGGGATATAGGGGTTGACAATTATAAAAGTAAAGAGAAACTATTAAATAAAACGCCTTTATTTTTATTTCAACAACAAAACAAAAAGCAAACAAAAAACAATTTAATTTTCACAATATGTTTTAGTTTTAGGGTAATGAACCATGGTATCCATGTGGGTCACTCAACGAGTTTCCTATCACACAACAAAACTATTATTTTGCCTTTTGCTGCATTATGAAAGAAGTCAGAAGTACAACTAAGTACAGTGTGAAATCCACCTGACACACACCTAAGGAATTAAGAGAAAAAAATGAAACAGTAAGAGTTAATTTAAAAAGCTAATTATAAAAAAAAAGCATATTAATAAACGAGCTGATGAAGACTTCATTATTTACTAAATAAATAAATTAAAAAAAACAGGAAAAAATATCTTTTTAATTGCTGTTGATAGAAATTAAGACATACAAATTACATTTTTGAAGTTTTCTTCAGCGTCGTAGGCCAATAATTTTTTAAGGTTAGATTTCTTATTAAATTACAAAAGAACAAGTTTCATTAGACATTTTTTTTTACACCATCTGTTCAATAACCATAAAACTCAGTCAACAATGAACAGGTTTCAAGTTCAACATATTTATTGCGGTTGCTAAAAATCACTTTCACATACTGTATAGACCGAGAAAAAACATGTTTAGCTGGACTTTTTTTCTTAAAATGACCCTGATTGCATTCTAAATATCAGTTTAATCACACGTTTGACAATTTATGACTGTTTAAAAAAGAAAAAAAAAATCAGTAAAATTTCCGATTCGAGGGCCTAATCAAGAAAGATGTGTTGATATTTTTTTTTAACTGAAAAAAGAATTTAATACAGATATAGCTTAGAAATAAACGGCGCTTTGTACAGGAAAGATGGAGAAAAAAAAATAAGAAAAAAAAAGGTTACTTTCTTTCCACGCACAAACACGAAAATCACGCGGGTCGAATTTGAAATAATAAAACAATAACTTAACTAGGAAGTACATTAGAAATAGTTAAAAATGTAAATTAGTACTGGGATATTTTCAGAAATTAAATACTTACAGCGATTCCACCGTCAGACGACATCTCAATATAAAAAATGTACCTAATAAGATAAATAAAAACAACTACTCAAGTATCATTATCCATAACAACACTAGCAACAAATTTCAAACAGTGACCGCCATGCACAAACGGCTCAATACAAATTTCTATTGGAAAAAAATATTTTAAAAAACATTTTTGATTTATTAATCTTAATTTTGAACTTATACACAATAATACGTAAAAATAAATTATAAAACGATTTTTAAAATATTTTCAGAGTATTTATTTTATTAAAATCTTTCCAGGAAAAATAAAAAATATTCAAACTTGGTTTAAATTCTGCGCATGCGCACTTGACGAATGTGTGTCTGCTCAAGCTTGCGCTTCCGGAGTGGGGGACAAAAATTGTGAAAACTTCCTCGAATTCAAATTTGTCCGAAATAATAAGAGAAAAAGAAAGGAAAGAAAAAAGGGGGACTTTTAAGAATTTACGATGATGGCAGCTCTGTTTGCTTGTACAAAATGTCACAGCAGGCATCCATTTGAAGAGCTTTCACAAGGCGAGCAGTTGTGTAAAGTAAGTGTTATGTCGTCGCTTCTACACGTTGGGAATATGGAGAGACGAAAGAGGTCGATCATCAACACCTTTATTCCTTTTTTTTCTACATGAAAACTCGACAAATTTTAATAATTTTTATATTTATTTATACTCAATTGTTTTGTTGACTTTATTATTGCAGTTTCATCCCGCGAGTTTCTATGGGAAAGATAAAGAATAATACTGCGTTTTTTCTTTTAATTCATCTGACTACTGTCTTGCATCTCTCTTTCTCTTCCTTTTCTACCATGAAGCAGAACCATTTTTAGTACAACGTTCAAGTTCATTAATTTAGATTTTAGAGTTAAGAAATATAAATAAAGATTGAAACCATTATTTATCTACCGAATTCAACAATCTACCCATAAAACTCTTTTCCACCCATTTCCCTGTTTCAGTTTTTCTAATTATTTTTTAATATTTTTTTTGGCTGCTTTGGACCATTCTTAATGTTTATAGTTGTTTTTTTTTTTTTTTTTCTCGTTTTTGAAGCATCCACCTACTTAAACTCTTTTTATTATACTTCGAGTACTGACAATTTCAATTCATTTCTTTAAAAACTGTAATTCTTTTTTTTCAATATTGTTAAATAATACTTCACATTTTTAATTATTTTTTTTTATAAACGAAAATGACTAATTTGTCTTATGCTACTTTTTGAGATCTTTGTGAAGTGTTTTTTTTTTTTTTTTGTATACTTTTCTTTTTCCGGTTTAAAATCTTTAAATGTCGGTATCTTTCTGTTTTTGCTTTCAATTAGAAACCTTTGTGTTCGATCAATTTTTGATTGTAACTTAATTTTGCCAGAAGGAAATAAAACCTTTTCTAAACTACTCATTCCCTCTCTTTCGAGTTTTGAGAAAAAAAATTTAGTACTTTTATTTACATTTTAATTATAACCTTATAACGTACAGGTTTTATATTGAATTTGCCAAAAATTACTTAAATCTTGACGTTTTTAAATAACTTAAGTTTTATTTTTCTAAAATGAAAAGGATCATATTTTTATTCGGTGTTGATTTTTTTTTTCTTTGCTTACTACCTTTTTAATTTTTATTTATTTTATTTTGAGGTCCCTTTTCCTAAAACTCGTAACTTTTGCCCAACGGTCAATTGAATATTTTTTATTTTAAGTATTAATAATAATAATAGTGTACTGTAAACAGACAGATGATGTTTCTTTGTTTTGCTAATTGTATTTTTACAATGACAGGCACTGTCTACCACCGTTCATTTGTAATCGTTTACTTCCTAGTATGTGTGTGCTTATTTATTACGAAGTCTTTAAAAAAAAATTAAACAGTTTTACTGCTGTTTTTTTTAAAAAAGTGTTCATTACAACTATGTCATTTTTCCCTCCACTTTTTAAGCAAAACTCTTTTCAAAATTTAATAAAACGTCATTGTCATCATATGTTTCTTTGGATTTAAAAGGCGGAAAAAAATCTAGTTCCTGTTCCTGAAGGAAATGAAGCACACTCACTTAAACGAGTTAAAAAAAAAAAAAACTCTATATAGTGTGTGTACGTGCGTGAGTATGTATACTATAAAAACTAAAAGTTCTCGGCCTAACCAAGAAAGAATCTTAAAAATTCTGACGTTTGGTCAATATTTTGACTTTGAAGTGTGTAAAGCTGTTAACTTAAGCACCCTGTAGATAAAAAAAAAAAATGTATTGTAGATCAATAATTGGTAACTAATTTATTTAATAATGTTAAAAAAAATTCGTAGTTAATAAAATGTGAACATTCTTTGTTGTAATAATGACATTTTGGGGTGAAACTGACATCCAGATTTGTTTCGTTTCGTTATTTTTCTTTTCTCTTGACTCGACCATTCCATAATTAGTAAATACTTTAAAATAAATGTGGATCGCTTTTATTTTTAATTCATTTGTTGTGTATTCTTTAAAAATTATTTTGTTATTGATAATAAAGTTTTATTGTCCAAAAAATAAAATGTATAGAGTACATGATACATTTACTTACTTGCTACAATTTAAACAGGAACAATAATTAATAATAATATTCAAACAATTTTTACCGCTAAAAATATGTATTTCATTTGTTTTGTTTTTTTATTCGTCTTTTGGTTTTATTTTAAAATCTGAAGTTGGATCAGTTTCTCTCGAAGGCGGTTAAAACTTTTAAATTTTAATAAGATTAAAAACTTAGCCTTATTTTATTTTTAAAGTGTTATTTATTTGTCCGTGAATTTATGCGATCAGTAATATTTATTTTAATTCATAAAGAACTGATATTTTCTAATTAGTTGATACCTTGTCCTTATTTAATTCTTTCAAATGAAATTATTTCTCCCTGTAAATTTTTCAGGACATTTTACAAACAAAAAGTTAAGAAACCAACAAAAACTTTATTAAAATAATCTACTTTTTATTACCAGAAAATAATACCAAATTTTTTTGTGAGTCCAGTAAAAATCAAACTTAAGACCTTTAATTTCAATTCATTTATCAACTATACTATAGTCATTCATTCAATGAAAAACTTGAAAAAAAAAAAAAAACGAATTTTATTCTTTTGTGCACAATTGATTTGTTTTAGTTTTGTTGCTTTGGTAGAATTGTTTGATGATGAAATGTGAAATGATCCTCATTAATGAGAAAAGCTGTTGTTCCCATTGAAGAAAAACATTAACACCTTGGAAGCAAAACAATTCACAAATTAAGTACAATCATTTAAAAGATTTCTCAGTCATGATCCTATTCTGAAAAATACGAATGCTTTGGAATTAAGAAATGTTCAAAATATATGAATCTTTAAAATGTTGCTTTTTAATTGCAATGGTTTTTATAAAGGTTTTTACAAAATAACGTAGACTTTAATGACCTTTCTGAATTTATAATTCCATGAAGGAGAATTTGGTATTCAATATCTATCACTGGCAATTCAATCCTCATACTTGTTTCATAACAAAAGATTTTTGATTTTATGGTCGTTTGATATTTTGTGCTTAACCTTGATGACCAATAATAGATGGATAAGAAAGCTAAGGCTGCTTGATGATGTAACATTGGTTTATAACATTGGCATTTTGCTATGGTAAATATCAATGATAAAGTAGCCAATAGGAGTTGAACCTGGTTAGACCCAACAATCTAACCATATCTCACCTTTGACAAAAAGATTGCACTTTTTCTTACCATTTCAGTTATAACATAAAATTACTTATGCTACTTAGCTATTACAGACTATAAATATAAAACTGCTGGAATGAAGGTTTCTATGAGCTTAAATCAACTTTTTTTCTTCAATGTTAATTATTTTGTGGTTAACCTCAGCAAAGTTAATTGAGCTATTTTTTTATTTTATGGCATTCACTTCAATGCTTTGCCAATAAAAAAGCCTTCATGGATTTTCTCTTAAGAATGAACAAGAAAATGTATGAATTTCCAGCTCATGAGATAAATGTGGTGGGGGTGTAAAATATTGGCCTGTGTGTAAAAAGCTTTGTTCATATTTAATTTACACCTAAATGTATGGAATTTGATAAGCACAAGGCTGGTAAATGTGAAAAATGTTTGGAGATCATAGGTAATATTCTTTCCTCATATATGATAGAATGTAGAAATCTTTAGACTTTGAATATGATGCTTTACTAATGACCTTACTTAAAAGTTGACATGGCATCTTCAATTGATTAGCATAGACCAACCTTCATTTTCCTAACTCCACTAGCATGGCTGAAAGATCAGGTGGCTTGCACATTTTGATCTGCTTATCTAAACAAATGTAACAAATATTTCTGTGCTAGTTATAGTTTCATTAACGTTATAAAAAGAGGAGTCTGTTTATCATTAAGTCAGTGTTTCTACCTGTAAAGACATCTTTATGCCAAAAGAACTTTCTTAAACTCTCCAGAATTTTTTAATGGTTACTTCATGTTCCTGATTGTCATACAAGAGAGCTACCATATGTTTATGATTACCATGATTTGTTGCAAATAAAAACAAAAAAAGAAGTCTTCTTTTGAAATTTTGCAAAAGATATATCAGCAAGTGCTTATGTACATAGACTTTTATCAAATATATCCAGTTTATTAATAAATAATTATTGTTCAATATTATTTCACAACCACATTAAAATTACAGCCTGTTTTATAAATGTCTGTTTAGAAACTTTTGTCCATGTGTATGTAACACACATTATAATCTCTGGTATCAGTAAGTTCATAAGAGATTGCATTTCATTATTTGATTCCCACCCATTTATTTTGAAGCTTTACACAATGTATACAAATATGTAATGCACAATATAGTTGCCTATATCAATAGCTGCACAACAGATTACAATTCATCATCTCTTTCATACATGTCTATTTCAGAGTCTCAATCAATGTACAATATAGTTCTCAATATCAAACTGTACTTGATTGCTGGTAGCAGTAATAATAGCCCCCAATAGCATTGATTTCATAGTAGATGGATTACATTTCATTACCTGATTCATAGCTGTCTGCCTGTGGAGTTTTGGTCTATGTATACGAATCACGAATATACGATATAGTTCCTAATACCAACAGCTTCATTAATGATAGCACTTCACTGCCAATTTGATATCTCTAATCAGAAGCTACCTGTAATGTATACAAATCTGTAATATACAATATATCCACAACATCGGAGTAGCTTCATGATGAAGATTGCCCTTCAGCGACCGATTTCATCCATAGATACAAAATCGGTAATAGACTTTATAATCCCCAATATTAGTAACCTTCATAGAAATATTGTACTTCACTGCTAGTTTGGTACTCGTCTACTTGTGAGCTTTAGTCAATGTAAATAAAACAGTAATAAATGATATAGAGCCTAATATCAATAGTTATATAACAGTTTGAACTAATTGGGAGCCTCAATCAGTGTGCATAAATCAGTAATATATATATATATATATATATATATATCCCAGAGTGTTCATTTCCAAAACTCTGGAGTCAGGATGCTGAAGATAACATCAA